AGTGATTTGAATCAAACAAAATTTCGGGCACTTTTTAACAAAAGCCCCTTCTATAAGTGGCAAGAAGCTTAAAATTCCATCATCTCTAGTTTAGGAGCTGTGATTTAATACGTATGGGCATGCACTTGTGGGCCACATTTCTGACTGTTCAGAGCTACAGATTTTATATACAATCAACGAATTATCAAGCTAAATTTGGTACATTTATCGACAAATGTTTCTTCCATGAGTGGGCGTATGATATTTATGAAATAAAAAAAGGTCTTTTGTGGTTTTTAAAAGTCTAAGTTGGACTAGAAGTGTTGGATTTTTCGGTCGGTTACAAAGCGCCCATCATACATTAGCATATTATGTTGTCCAAGAATCGCATTCTTCACTAAAGCTTCAAGGCATGCATTTTTCGTCGAGGAATTAGACAGAATTCTTGCTTGGGGTACTTGTAATTCTCCGTGGAAAAGGGAAAGAGCAAGACTCAAATAATTGCCGATTAACAAAGATCTCAACCTACCTGAAATGTAAAAAATCCGCAAGTTAGATGAATGTTCAAGTGCAAAATAAGGAAAAAAGCATTAATTTGAAATGTTGTTCCAACATGAGGGCTGCCAGTAGTTGAGTGATCATTAAATAATCACCAATCACTACGGAAAATGACTTATCATTTTAACGGTAAGGCATTTATTGAGACCGACCAACATTAGCAAATATGAAAAATCCATTCAAGATAACGTCAAACTATTTGAATCAGAATAAACGCGGCTACCAACCAAGCCCAGCGATAAGATCAGGCAAAGTGCATAACTAATCGGCATTTCCTATCTTTTTGCTGCAGCTAAAAGATTATAATTTCGCATGCATGCTTACACAGCTATTTTCGTCGTTTTTTTCCACTCCGCAGCTAAATCTTTGAAATAACCGCTATTTGCCACGATCGGGTCGAAAATCCATTTGCATAGCAGGGCACTATGCAATTTACCGTCATTTTCTTCTAAACGAAAATCCTGCCAGCTACTGGGCAGCCAACAATGTGGGCATTGAGCGGAACAGTTCCCATTATTCAACTTTTCAGGAAATTGTCCTGTTTCCATATTTGCTGGTTGATAAATTAATATTTTTTTATTATAATATGCAGGCACATACTGATTACGTTCGAGAATGCTTCGTTTGAAGATACATCGAGGCCTGTCATCACCGGTAATTGATTAACTCATTTGAGATACCCCGGATTTAATGTCTTTTCATGCAGTGAATCACCCGATACGGGTATCTTAATCTTGGGCAAAAAGCCAGCGAAGAAGCGTTTAAAAATGACAGTCTGATTGCAATTTAATTGAAGTTATATATCTATGTTCTGGAACCTATCGGCTGCTTCATGGTGAAAAACACATTCGATGCGTATCCCAGTTACCTTCAAGTTTTCTTAATTGATTTATATTGGAGCATATCAGTTTCGCAGTAAATTTACGATTGGTTTCGTTATGGAAGCGTTATTCGTCTTAATCAGTTAAGTGTGATTTTGAAAATTTCAATCGGAAACAAGACTGAAATATCCCTCATTATTCCATGACTATTAATCACCGCTCTTGAACCAGTTGGAAAACGAACCCGCTGATAAGCACTTGATTAGATTTGAGCTTGACGATCAGATACGCAAAGGACAGATTTCCCACTTTAATTATACGAAATCGAAATAAGCTACTGGGTAATCATAACGATATTGAGCGGCATGTAACTTCCACTATATCATTATTTCTGCAGGGATTTTTAACAGCAGCCAGCGAATTTTTTCCTTTTAGGATGATCTGCGTGCAGATAGGAACCCATCTCGTAGATGCATTATTCAGTAGCAAATCGATTAAGCAAATTATTTGTTATAAGAGTGCAACAAGGTGCTTGCAAAGATTGTGTTCCACGAGAACCCAACCCAGTGCCGTACAATTAAAGAGACATTGGAACATTAATAGTGATTGTTGCAATCAAGCGTGTGTTCGGATGTTTTGTTTGATTTTTTTAGAGTCAGTTTTAAGTTAGGACGTTCTCACAAAATCGTTTACGAGAATGGCGGGCATTTAGGTGAATACTTTGCATAAAAACATTGCTTTTCTTCGGCCATTTCGATTCGATTTCTCATGAACAAACCCATTACTATTAGAGTATTAGATTGAATGGATGTTTCAATGTATTTTGTTACACCAAAAGTGGTGTTGATTCTTCGGCGCCTCTGCCCTTGCCCATAATATCCGAACTACATGCCTCTATCTTCTCAGCAGATATGAAGAGATATGGCGCGGTTGCTGCATGCAATTATTATTAAAATATTAAAAACCAGGCCGGTTATAAATTGAGAGCGTCGAAAAAGGAGATGGTTTTTCCATTATAAGATCCCCTAATGGGGCGATTCGACCATATGGCGCTACTTTGCTGGATACTCTAGAATCCAAATGGAAGCGCTAAGCACTGCTTTTGAAGCTTTACCCCTAAAAGGGCAATTTGAATTCAACAGTTTTGCCGATAATTTTCTAGCAATTATTCCCGTTTCTGATCAGTAAATATTCCGGTTATACGCCCCTAAAAACCTAGGAACTCGGTTAGTTATGGATAAGTTTAGACGCTTACATGCAAAATGAATAAATTTTGCTGTAATTAGCTGCGGGATTAGGTTCTTTTATGACAGCAATGTTAGAAAAGGTGAAATAATCACGCATAACCGACTGAAATGAAGTAGAAAAAGTCGCACTGGGACTAACCCAATCTTGTGGAGTGGCATTTAAACCATACCTAATTCATTCGTTACAGATTGAATATTATCTAAAGGTTATTGGGAATGATAAAGTTGAACCGTTCAATCTGCAGTTCAAACTGGTTCTGCTAGTTGAACTGAACTTGAACCAAGACTTAAAGGAAATCATAGCGATACAATTTTTAATTTATACTTCATACAAACTTTCGTTGCTACTCAGCCAATTTTGACGTGCTTCTTTTCTTCATCTGAGTTGCGGTTTTGAGTCCAACACGCATCGTATGCATGTTTGAAAAGAAACGCCTGCAGCGCCTTGATAATGAAACTGGGCATATGAAGCCTAGAAGAACCTAATTAACTGCTGGTTGATTTTTTAGTGTTAAATACTTGCAGCTTAGGTACCAGCATATCATAGGAAATGGTTTATGATGTCCATTCAATTCAATACGCGCGCTTAAGCCCTTGCTCGTCTTTTATGGTGACCAAAGCAGCCATCCTGCAGATTCCAGCCGAAGAACAGCAGCGGCAGCAGGCAAATAAGGCCCTGTTGGCGGCTCCGATTGTGGCGGCAATTTTCTTTGATGTTACCGCGACCGCGCTTATCTTCAATTGCTACTGTTTATCCACAAAGCACCGCTCTTTAGCATTTTTTCGTATTTTGTACGTTTTTTGCTCGATTCTTTGCCGTTTCGTGATTTTTTTTCTCCATCGAATTCACCGCTTTTAGTTATAGGAACAGGGTTTTCTCGATTCGATTTTGGGTGAAATGACAGTGAAATATACTTAAGAATACCTACATGAGTACACGATTTGAGGCTGGATCCAGACTATTTTCTATTTGAAGTGCGAATGAATCGAAAAAAGCAAATTAGYAGAKAATTYTTATAATCTAATAGTGTGTAAATMAAAGRGATCAAACTTTTTCCAAGATACGAGGTTTACCTTAATGCCTCTGGTTCTGAAATAGAAAAAAACATGTTTTTTGTGAATTTTGCATTATTTTATTTGCTACCCTATAGAAAATTTATCTGACGCACCATTTTTTTTCGCAAAAAGAAGAGAATTGCACTAAATAACGCTTCGAACAGTCATAGAATCGCCCGCAACAATAAGAATTTATCCAGTTCCAAAGTTGGTCCAAATTTGTCAGTGGAACGCAGATTTTCTTGAGCAGTTTATTTTGAATTGTTTAATAATAAACCGTTCACTTTGTCAATATTTTGCCTTTTGAGTGTTGATCTCGCGAATGTTTTGAAAATATTCGCAMGGCAACAAAGTTACACGCAAACTTAAACGCAGTTGTTTACTCAAAGCACTTTTCGGCACAAACTATGTGCGGTTGGTTTATCRAAGATTTTCAATAGAAACACCTGGAAGAATCGGGGAATTTCAATTCTCAAATTGCRTATTTTAGRCGCGAAAATGCCCCGATTTGTTCGGGCGACTTGAGGAGATTTTTTTAATTTCACCATAATACTCTCTTAAACCGACTTTGAGTTTTCAAAAAATTWAAAAAACCGGAGARGTTTGCATGTGTTGAAAACACTTAACGATTTTTWAAAAATTAGTTCAATTAAAGCTCGACAGCTAATAGTATTGAGGAATSTGAACAAAGTAATCAAGGAAAAACCCATGACAGAAAAATTTAWTTTTRATTMATTTTGAAAGTTAATGTRTAAATTTGCTCTCGATTTTATATTTTACGGGTTTTTCTGCCTTCTTCTGAATTAGTCGTGAACTCAAACGAAAAGTGAATTAGATTTTAGTTTCCAGACGAACGCTTTGGATTAAAATGTATTCCAAATTAAAATCAAATCCTGGGCTCTTCAGTCATTTATTGTCTATTTATCAATTAAAAAAACGTTTCGGTGTTTTCCACCATCATCAGTTT